AAGTACCTTAATGAAAGAAGATATTGTGAATTCGAATACATTTTAACGTGTGAAATTCAAGATTAACAGAAACTGAAATTGTCCCTTTCCGGAATTTGGAGAAAAGGACTGATGATTAAAAGTTTTCAAGAAATCATAACAAATCACTAATTTCAGCATCACACTTACCTTTTGCTTTGCAAAAGCAGAAATGAAAACTGAATAAATTTGTGGGAAGCAAAGCAAACACACAGCAAATTCCTGTAAATGTGCAATGAATTCGTTTTTAATCTGAGTAATCTTTGCTCCGTACAACTATATGCCATGACTCAAAAAATAATTCTTTTCCCTTTTTTTGTGATGAATTTTACAAAATTTACAGTAATGCTCTGATTATTTCGCAATTTTCTGCATGTTATAATATTTTCTTTTTGTATTTCAATTTATAATCCTTTTCATAAGGTTTTTGTCGAGGATTGAAAGCATATTCATCAACTATCGAATTAGAGATAGGGAATTTGAATGTAAGACATTGCGAATCGCACGGATCAAAAGCTGCTCGAACCTTTGGTCGTTTAATTCAATTCAATGTGATATAAAAAGGCTTCTATTCAAACATTTCTACCATTTTAAAAATTTTGTATTTTACCTTGTTCTTCATCATGTCGATGACACAGATCATTTGGTTCAATCTTCTGCTTTGCGTCATTTTGGCTTATAATAAAACTTTCTCTCCACTTAATCCCACACATATTCATTATCCTGGCTATAACCCAGATGTCACTCTGAACCTTCCCCATACATCTGATATCCTCGACAACAATTTGGAGACATTGCCTGACCATAATGACCATACATATAACAGCGATCGGGAACAAGTGACGATAATAGCAAATGATGAACAATCCCAGGAAGTCACCGACGGCTTCGTTTATAATATCGAATGGGAAAATACTGATCGAGAATTGTTGGGGATAACCGTTGACAAAGATCTCTTCCCAGAACTCATCTGCAATTTATTACCGCTCAATTCAGATACCAACACACACAATATTGGTGGAGAACTACCGGGAACAAATGGTGAAGTATTACACAATGGGATTTTCTTCCAACCCTTACAGTCCACTCAAACGTGTTAGAATCAGATTACATGCAATTAAGAACGAAACTGATTTCGCTATAGCAGAAAATTCGCAGTTATCTGCTCTACGATATCCGTCCATCAAAGAAAATTTTTTATGCTTAATTTATGCTAAAAGAGTGAACATTTTCTAGTAATTCAAGTGAAATTTAATGTAATAAGCTTATTTTGGGCACTACCATAATCAGTTTCCAAATTACATTAATTAATTAGCAAATACTATAATACAGTGCCAATTACAAATACAAATGTTATAAAAGTTTTTCAGAAGAGCAAAATCGTGAACGTCCTCGTGCCGGAGGTATTGCGCGCATTAAGAATCGCGGGGAATATAGAAAACGCAATAAACCGCGCGACGAACATTTTATTTACAAACGCAAACGGCCCAATTGTGGTCGAACTTTCAATCATTCATCGCTTGCCTCTCACAAGGAAATACATCAATGCGAAAACTGTAACAAATCATTCAGCACCAAGAGCAACTTGAACAGACACATGAGCGGATGCTTTGTAACTTCTCGTTAGTTTCAGCAGAATTTCAAGCACATTTTTCTATATGGAACAGTAGCATGCACATGAAAATGTGCCGCAGAACATCCACGATCATGGAGTAGCATTGCAATATTCAATAAATATTGCAATGCAGAAAACGAAGACAAACTGCGGCAAAGTGTCCATTTTCTTTGACGCAGTGAGGCAGCATTTAGAAGATATTCTTTCTAGCCTAATTGCGACAGATCCGCAATTCGGACATTGAGGAATACACGAAAGGGTGCATAAGCATCAGAAGTTGAGCTGCATTTTCAGCGCTAAGGTCACAGCAAATGCCATTTTATGGTCTCATTTTAACATTGGTTTTCTGACTTGCTTTCTTTTCATTCTCCTTACCATCCCATATATTATAACAACAGTAATTATTAGCAGAACTGGTTGTTTTTTAAATTAATTATCAAAAATTCGATTTGTTCATCCGATCCTTCGTAATCGCCCGACATTATAAGAGTTTTTCAGAAAAGCGAATTTATGAATGTCCTTATGTCGGATGTACTTTGCGCACGAGCAGTCTCAACGAATATAAGAACACAAGAATGCGCACGACGAACCATTTATTTACGAATGTAAAGAACCCAATTGTGGGAAAAAGTACAGTCA